GAAAATATTTTAAAGAGGAGGAAGCCATTATTAAAAATCTTCAAGAGAAATTCGATCTTTGGTTCGTAAAATAAAGGAGATTTGTATCAAAGCCAACATAGACTTACAAGAAGGTAGTTTTATAACTGAGCAAATGAACGAATACGGTTTTCCGTCAGTGTGTAAACTGTAAATAATCGACTTGCTGACATTGAGGAATCTGTTCGAGAAATTAATATTTCCCATGGAAACGAAACTGGTTCCAGATATAATAGTCATTCAATGATCTCAATCCCCAAATTACAGTTTGCTACTTTTAGCTGCATCAATCCGCCTAAATTTTAATTAAAGAATTTTATAGCAGAGTTTATTAATAATTGTATTAATTCCATCAATTTTAACAAAACAACGCTAGCCCATTATAAAAAGTTATCTACTGCTAACATCACATCTTACCTTAGAAGATGACAATTACGAGGGGGCTACAGTTTTGTTAACGAAAGAATTTTTGGATGTGCCTTTTATATTTCATAATAACCAGTTTTCCTAAATACGATCTCGATTTTGTGACTGTTAAACATACTCTTGCCGAAGTGAGGACTGATTTGTCCGAGTTGAGAACCTCGTATGATATGGATTTTTTGAGGAAGACTCCCCTCAATTCAAACTTGTAAGCCACGTCATATTTGATGAGCTACCCCATAATTAATGCAGGAAAACATTCATAGGGTAGGTAGCAGTTACCCTTCCTTAAATGATGTTTTTGAGAATTATAATGAAGCCATCTGCACACTGACAAAGCCTTTCCATGTATATGAAAAAGATATTATAAATAATTATTCAGTTGCAAGTGAAAATAATGGTGCAGCATTACAGAATTTCTTCATTAGCTCTAATGGGATGCCATGTAAATTTTGTGCAAAAAGTTGTCACCCCCATGGGGATGTGTACAAAATATACTACCTTCGAGTCCCGAACTGCTCGATGCAGATATTTAAATTTATCTATTATATACTCCAGTAATAGAAGTAACTGAAAATTGCTCTGGACTTCAGAATAAATTATTCCTTCCCTGTAAACAATGTTCATCTAAAGGACATATAACGTCACTATTCGATAATCGTAAGAAGGGGATATCTTTTTTTTACTCATGTAGGCGCCTGTACATATGAACTAAGCCATTTAATAATAACTATAGTAGAAATCACATTATAAACTGCCTATTGGACACAGGTAGCCAGCAGTTATATTTGTAACACCGTATCCTCACCCCACTTGACCCACGCACTCCACAAGACCGGCCGTTGGTCCGGTATGGTCCAGTATTACAGGTTAGTCTCCGGTTCCCTATGTCAATTCGAAGCCACCCTCCAGCCACGTTGTGATTGTTTTGATCCTGGAGAGTGGTCATCAGATCGTAAAAATCCGGAAGCTCTCCGTTGGTTCACCTTCGAGTTCGTCGGGTGAGAATCGGGTTAACAGAAAAATAAATAGAACCAAGTCGATTCGATTTTGAAAGACAAAATTTTATATATATATATATATATATATATATATATATATATATAAGTAAACACACACACAAATTCTTGTTGCACAAGTTTGAATGTTTCTTGTATGTGAACAATAACCAAACAAACACAAATACTTCGAATAATTTCGGTAAAGGAGAGATGTGACCTTCATTTTAACTCTTTTTGGTCTGTTCTTAGCGCATCTACTACAATCTTCGATGTTCCAGTTCTCAGTATAGTAGTAGTAGTAGTAGTATCAGGAGTAGCGGTACTTAGATGTTAGCGGCTGTATTTCGCTTCTTCGCTCACAGCTTCAGCAACACACAGCGTACGCTTCCTTTTCAATATCTGACGTCTCTCCACTCAGATCGACTGCATTCGAAGACAGACGACCCCCCCCTAAAAAAAAAACTCTCCTCCTCCGGTTGGCTCGCTTCTTTAATAAGAGAACAGGCTTCACGTGACCCAGACTGGTGATGTATCTGTTTTTCTAGTGTGAACGTACTGACATACTATCAAAGAACAACTTCATTCCTCTGAGAATAAACAATTTACTTTTTCATCGATTGGTTTCCAAGGTTCACAACAAGACGCTATTGTTTATCACCTCTCTATTAATTAATTTGCCGCTCTTTGTAAACTACAGAGATTCTTGTTTTAAAAATAAATTCTAGATCCTTAACATCCTTAATTTTAACTTATAGTGTCAAAATCCATTTCTTTTTTTTTAAGTTCCAAATTATTATTGTTCCAGTAATTTTCTATTAGTAATCTGATATTCTTTGTACACTTACAAAATGATTGTATTTCGTGTTCTAAATTAACTTTCTGTGACATTTCAAATCTTTACAACATATTAACATCTTGGTTATTCGAAAACGCCTCTCTTCACTTGGTTTTACAGCATATCCTCCTTTATTATCATTATTATTATTTCAGGGGTGATATCGCCCCTGTCACATATTTCTCTAAAGGAATATTTAAAAGGTTAAAATCTCCTGACTGGAGTCTAACTCCTGGGGATTATCAAGGAAAAACTTGCTAAAATTAATTCCAATAAAAATTTGAATCAAGTTGTTTCAGGCGTAAATATAGGCAAAGGAAGACCGCTTCCTATTGCAGTTTTGTTGCACGATAAATTTGATATTCAAGTTCCATGATTTCTGACAAGTGATAATGAATTTGACCAGATTAAATTATTAATTAGCCTTTTCTCATGATAGTAATCAAATAAACATTCAAGGAATTCAGGGAGTGGACATTTTCAAACATATTGAAGATACCAAAATTGTTGAATGTATGATTGGTTTGATGTGGAAAATGCCGAATGGAATTGCCGCTTTCGGGAAAGGCCTACATTTTCTATATAGACATCAAGTTACCTCAGCAGGACCCAAGGCTTCCAACGTTCACCACAACTACCATTTTAAGCATTCTTCATACTAGAACAACAATAATTTGTAATATAACCATAGTTCACCGACCCTAAAATATTCCCAGATGCCTTCGTATTATCTAACGTCGAAAAGAACATAGAGAAAATGGTTACTCTGGATTAATGCATGATAATCCTTCGATGAGCATGAACATATGAGTAATTACGGCAAAAACAAAACAGATAAATTCGAAAAAAAAAAACGAACAAAGACAACTCATATTTATTGGATTTACCCTGGCACGAAGACAGGATCAAATCAGTGCCAACTAATTATCAAGTTGCCTTGAAACTATGCATTCTTTAGAATGAAAAAGAAAATATGGCCACTGCTTGTGACGATATATTTCAGCAACAAGAGACAGAAGGGATCACAGAAAGTGAAAGTCTCCTCACAAGACTTTACAAAATATAATTGGATCCTCACAGACTTGTCTTCAAATCTGATGAAAAAGTAGCTATAAATTCCAGACCTCTTATATACCGGAATACGTCTGATACTGAACTATTACCATTAATACCTAATGCCTTTTTACATCCTAATGTCAATGGAGAAATTTCTGTGAAAACTGATTCTGGTGGCTCTCCTGAAATTGAACCTACTTCCAAATCACATTAGATGCTCTCGCTGAAAGGGAGAAATTGTTAGCTAACTTCACAGAATTATGGAATGAAGAATATCTCGTGAGTCAAAGAGAAAGTTACAAGGACCTACATATGGATTTTAATAAATAAAATATAAGTAGATGATATAGTATTATACTGTCTCCGGGATGCGTGTATTTCGTTGAAATGTACACAACCCTAGAGACAGTTAGCATAAACTCTCATCGACAATCAAGACTCTGAGACATAGTATGTTTTAGACACAGGTTTATTGACAGTCGACAAAGGTAAAACTGAAAGAAAATAAAACACGTTTCTTCAGAAATACAGAAATACAAAATGAAGGTGAGTATTTACTAAGACCTTAAGTAGTTGTAGGTACGATAAGCTTACAGAATAGAAGCATTTGAACATAAAAAATACTCATAGAAGAAAAAAGAATACAAAATATGCTGAGTAACAGTCAAGTTCCGAGAGGAAAGGTGGAGGTTCCGCACGTGGTGAGAAGGTAAACAAAGTTCGTTTAAGGAAGAAAATGATACTAAAAATAATGCTTGCATTAAATAATTCCATAATAGGAAGGAAAAAAAGGCGATAGTTCTTACCGGAGATGTCCAAGAATGACGAGATATTTAAAGGATGAAAACTATGCCATGCGGCCAAAGCTGGGGGCATGCCATGTGGCCGTGCTGGGGGCAGCTAAACTAGATAGAGGCTGAGCACCGGGAACCTTCAACCGGTGTAGGGGTGTAGGGTCAGAAAGAAGCCCCCAAGCAAAGGGGCCGATAAAGGGAGATGGGTGCTAGTAGGTCTGTTGTACACAGAACAGAACACTCCCCGCCTGACGTCTTGGACGTCAAGGAATGTGCTAGTTCTCGTCACAGAGAAGGACAATCCTGGCAACGGGTCTGAGGAGGTGTTTAGTTCGCTCAGTTCGGTTGCCAGGAGGGCAGGCACAGAGCTCCAGTCTGGGAACTGAATGTTCGGGTCGTGGGGCAAGTTTCGCTTTCCCCATGATGAAGCCAATTTGGTTGTTTCCTTTATCGTCGGTGACCTTGAGATAGGCCACTGCAGCGATGGCTTTGGTCGATGCATCGGAAAAGATGTGCAGCTCTTTATGTACTGCTTTTTGAGAGTGGTATGTTTGTGAAGGCCCTAGGGATTCGGACCTCGTTTAGCGCTTCCAAGGAGTCTCTCCATGAAGACCAGATTTTGTGCATTTCTTGAGGAGAGGTGAGTCCCACTCGCTGTTTTCATGGGTTAGCTCTCTCAAGATTAACTTTCCTTGAATGGTGACGGGGGCAGCAAATCCCAAGGGGTCATACAGACTGTTGAGGGTCGATAAAACGCCCCTACGTGTAAAGGGTCTTCTTTGTATCGCAGGTTTCTTATCGAGGCTACGTCTCGGTGAAGAAAGTCGACTCTCTGCCAGTTTCCTGTTATAAGGGAGACGACGTCAGGGAGATCTAAAGGGTAGAGGAGCAACCCAGCTGTTGTCTTTGTCTTTCTCGGCTCCCCAGCTCCATGATGTTCAGGAAGGCGATATCTTCAATAGAAGGCGCCGCCCTTTCGTCGTCCTTGGTCCGTTGAAATAGGTGGTCTTCCATCTCGGTAGAGTATGGCCTCTTGCTGATGCTGAAGCTCTCTTTAATTTCGAATCTGTTCGGGCACGGTTCGAAAAGGGTAGGGCGTCCCCCATCGGATATATGTGTATGCAATGTGTTTATTATGGTGGGTGGGTGAAATTTCCCTAAACAGACATTGCCAACTATGACCCATCCGAGGTCCAGTTTCTGTGCATATGGGGCATCATGGGGGCCGTTTATATGTTGGCGCACTTTGTGTACCCTTAGAATGTCACGCCCCAGAAGGAGCATTATAGGAGTTTTAGGCTCCACGGTGGGGATGAGGTGTGCTATTTTTCTCAGATGTGGGTGGTGGAGGGCTGCCTCAGGAGTTGGGATGCCGGACCTGTCGTTGGGTATTTTGTCGCATTCGACGAGACTTGGAAGTGGAAGGCTGTTTTTCCCGTCTAAGGATTCCACCTGGAAGCCTGACGCTCTTCTTCCCATGGTTTGTATAACTCCGGCACAAGTTTTAAGGGAATAGGGGAAACTGGGCCCATCATTTTTAAATGTGTCAAAAAAGTCTGAGCGTACCAAAGACCGGTTGCTTTGTTCATCGATGATGGCGTACATCCTCACTGTTTTGTCTGGTTGGTCGGCAGGGTAGACATTGACGAGGCATATCTTGGAGCACGACTTTTCTGAGAGTTCACCACCGCAAACTTGTGTGCACTGCGAAACCACTCCAGTAGCTATAGGGGGGTTATCCTCCCCGCCGTTCTCTGCAGCGGATCTTATGCTGATGGGCCAAGGTGGTGGTCCTGGATGGAGAGCAGTGTTGTGTTCTTCACTGTTACACTCATTGCATGTAATATTCATTCTGCAGAATTTCGCTATGTGTGCTGTGGAGGAGCAACATTTGAAACAGATGCCATTGTTTCTTATAAATGTCTCACGCTCTTTCAAGGGTTTCTCTCGAAAGGCGCGGCATTTCAACAGTGAGTGGAATTTTTTGTGTAATGGGCAATATTGGGTGGGGTCGTTGTCATCTTTGTTTTGCCGACGCGTGGTGTTGAAAACTGTGGGGGACACTTCGGTCTTATTCACCGATACCACCCTTTGTTTGCTCTCTTGTGAGGGGAACCTACCCACCAGTGAATTGACCTTGAAACTTGGATCATTTTTTATCCTAGCTTGTTGTGTAATAAAGTTTACAAATACCTTAAAAGGAGGGAACGTAACTTGGTGCCGCTCCTTATATTCGGAACCAACAGACAGCCATCTGTCCTGAAGTGAGGATGGTAGTTTGGTTATAAAGGGCGGAGCCCTCGAGCAGTGTCCAGGTAGGCGAGGCCAGGAAGGTTTCCATCTTCCCTGGCTGACAAGAGTTCGGTAGCTAAATCGCTGAGTTCCCTAAGTCTAGGAAGATCGTTGTTTGACAGTCTGGGGAAGTCGTCTACTCGTTTGAAGAGAGCATCCTCTATCATTTCAGGAGCCCCGTAACATTCCTCGAGTCGGGCCCATATTCTCATGAGCCCTCTTTCTGGGTGGTTCAGGTGGGCTGACCTGAGCCTCCTCGCATGCTCCCCTGACTCTTTACCAAGCCATTTTACGAAAAGGTCCATTTCCTCGCTGTATGTGAGACCGAGGTGTCTGATGGCACTCTGGAAAGACCGCTTCCATGCTCTGTAGTCTTCAGGTCTATCGTTGAAAGGTGGCAGTCCAGTGGTGATGAGCTCCCGCCGGGTGAAGTACCTCACAAGGTCTGAGGTATATTGAGACTGGGAGGCGTCCCTGGTGTTGGTGGGGTACCGGTCGTTAAGAGGTTCGGTGTCTTCGACACGTGAGTTAGGGGAGTGATAGCTGATGATAGGAGGGCTTGTTTGGGTAGGTCTGTCTGGGCTCCCTGGCCTATGAGGGAGAAGTCGGTCTCCGCGTTCGAACCGACCATACTGGTATCCCCGAACGATTTCTTCGTTAACAGGTGGTTGGGGTCCAGTCATCTCTTGTTTCGGTTGGCTTGCTTGGTCGGCTAAGTATTCTCGGACCCGTGTGCTAGGGTCAGCGGGAGTGCAGTCGAGTTTTGAGTGGCTGCAGCTGGACCGTTCTTTTAGCTCGTCGGCAGCTTCCCTCAGAACTTCTGCTTCAGCTACGGCAGCAGCCGTCTCCTTTTCAAGCTGTAGTTTCTCCAACTCCATCCTTATTTTTAGCTCCTTGTCTGTGAAAGCTAAACGTGTTTTGGCTGCTTCAGCCCTAGCTTGGGCGATAGCAGCAGCAGCCGCCGTACACGATCTGCTGGAAGACCGAGAGTAGCGGGAGGCATGAGTCCTTGACCGATTTGACACGTTGTCTGCCATTGTTAAGAAAAAAGGATGATTCGTGGTAGAAGAGAGGCCGAAAGAATAGCTTCGTTATATTGAGGATAGTTTTTTTCAAGCGAACTGTGTGACACTACTGTTGTTGGTGTTGCGTCCGTAGTTCCGACGGTTGGTGTAGACCACGAAATATCCGACCATTAGGGGGCCTCCGTTTTACTATACTGTCTCCGGGATGCGTGTATTTCGTTGAAATGTACACAACCCTAGAGACAGTTAGCATAAACTCTCATCGACAATCAAGACTCTGAGACATAGTATGTTTTAGACACAGGTTTATTGACAGTCGACAAAGGTAAAACTGAAAGAAAATAAAAACACGTTTCTTCAGAAATACAGAAATACAAAATGAAGGTGAGTATTTACTAAGACCTTAAGTAGTTGTAGGTACGATAAGCTTACAGAATAGAAGCATTTGAACATAAGAAATACTCATAGAAGAAAAAGAATACAAAATATGCTGAGTAACAGTCAAGTTCCGAGAGGAAAGGTGGAGGTTCCGCACGTGGTGAGAAGGTAAACAAAGTTCGTTTAAGGAAGAAAATGATACTAAAAAATAATGCTTGCATTAAATAATTCCATAATAGGAAGGAAAAAAGGCGATAGTTCTTACCGGAGATGTCCAAGAATGACGAGATATTTAAAGGATGAAAACTATGCCATGCGGCCAAGCTGGGAGCATGCCATGTGGCCGTGCTGGGGGCAGCTAAACTAGATAGAGGCTGAGCACCGGGAACCTTCAACCGGTGTAGGGTCAGAAAGAAGCCCCCAAGCAAAGGGGCCGATAAAGGGAGATGGGTGCTAGTAGGTCTGTTGTACACAGAACAGAACAAGTATTAATTTAAAATCCTGCAAAAACCAGACCATTCTGGAAACTTGATTGGCTGACTGAACTTTTCTGTGAAAAATGATGGAAATGTACGTTCAGTAGATATAATTAGATGAGATGCATCTTATGAGAATCATAACATACAACATCTGTTTACAATGGAACTTTCTTTGACACATTATGAACACTATAGTTCTGGCTAAGACTTTAAACTGCATCCACTAACTTGATAGTTATTTATGAACATTTCTATCATTATAAATCAGTCTAGTCATCGGTAAGACTGTAAAATACAAGCATTTCCATTTCCGTTTATGATTCATTCTCAGTCCTGGGTAAGACTTTAAACTGCATCCATCCAACTGTCCATGTCTACTTATGATTTAGTCTTGGGTAAGACTTTAAATGGCAACCATTTATATTTCTAGTTCTGGGTAAGACTAAGCTGCATCCATACGTCTGATTTAACATTGAACATGGAGGGCCATGTCACTATTATTACTGAGTAATTGAAAATGGATATCATTAAAAAACTAAAGGTTATATATGGTTATTTCATTGAAAAACTCATTTGAATAGTGAAATAAGTTCAGTGAATTCTTATCCAAATTTAAATGTCTAGATTATTTTCTTATTGATTCTTTGGCCATAAATTAATAAATAATTGTACTTCAACATTAACAATACACACACAATAATGCCCACAACGAAATGATGTAAATTATGTTTGAAAACATTTAAAATGTGCTCAAATTTTAGAATTAAGCATGTATTTTCTGTGACTAATACCTTCATCTTGTCTCCAAATTTCTTCCCGTCTTTACCTTCTTTTCCACCCACAAGCCAAGGGTCCGTGAACTTTGAAGCGATCCGACCCGAGAATGACCTGGTTACAAAATCACGCGACCATCAGGCGGTTGACCATAAGTGAATTCCAGGCACCATCAGGCTCTCCTGCTGCGATCACGTGATCCGACCCTACTAAGGGTTGAGTGAATCTTTGGCTATCACGCAAACACTTCGTGATTTGCATCCCATCCTCTCAAGGACAAAGAGAACCCACGTGACTATCTTTAGGACAGCAAAAATTAAAAAAAAACGGTTTTCAGTTTCCTGTTTAACCAGTGGCAAATGAACATCATTAAGCGAATCGTCCCGATTCCAAATGGACTGCCCATCGCAATAAAGAAAACAGCAAAGTCTATCGACTAGAGAACGAAAGGAGTGCTATCACACTTAATCGACCTGTACGAGATGCTGTGGATCCCAACCATTTCTGAAAGAAAAGGAACCCAGGAAAATTGCTGACCGACAAAATATTGTTTTAGCATAAGAACTCTCGCTTCGGCGAATTAGAACTCTGTGTGGAGATATCAACTCGACTAACCCATCAAGACAGATAAGTTGATTTCTTGGCTTGATCTTCTTATATATATGTATGTATTCGCTCGTACCTTCTGTTCTTTCATGATCCCTTTTCCCTTTATTAAAAGGAATTTTCTTTTTCTTTCTTTACCTGTTTTTGTATTTATAAGTAAATGTTTTATTTTGAAATTCATCGTCTTGCGTCTGTTTTTCGCTGACTCCCTTGTGTCGCTTCCATCCCTGAGTGAAGACCGAGAAAAGATCCCAAGTTTTCCTTTTTTTAAACCCCTGGTTCACCTATAGGCTACAAGTTCGTAACAACAATATATATATATATATATATATATATATATATATATATATATATATATATATAATAAATAAAGACAACAGGAAAACTTATCTTAGAAGATGCGCTTTATCCTATGACGGAATTTATCAACGCGAATGATTTGATTTTGTGACAAGTATTTATATACAAGAGAAAAAAATGTTATTGGTTTTCAAAAAACTTGATGAATATTCATGAATACTCCCATACCTAAAATTTTTCAAAAAACGATAATATTTTTGCTCATATATAAAAATACTTGTCACAAAATAAAATTCTCACATTTGCCTGGATAAAATCCCTCAGAGGATGAAATGCGTCGGCCAAGATAAGTTTTCCTTTTGTCTTTATTCATATTGTCCTATTACAGATATACTCTATCTTAATTTTTTACACACACACACACATACATATATACATACATACATACATAAGAAAAATTTCTCAAAGTTAACCTGTAGAAAAAGACAATATTTATAAAGGTAAAAGACAATAGGAAAACTGTAATATTAGCCTACGCGTTTCGTCCAATGTGGACTTTTTCAAGACAAAAACGAAATGAATTTATTAAAACAAAGTAACTAGTAATAACAAAACAAAATGTCCTTAGCAACTGGAAGAATTTAGAAAACGCTATTATATTCATATTGTCAACTGAAAATTACGTCAAGTACAGTCACGTGTGGAAATACACTCATAAAAAAAGAAAATAACTCACTCAGAAGGAAAATCCTCAAGTGTGCCGCCATTGAATATTATCTAAATATTAATCTACGCCCAGGCTTTTTCCCTATTTCACCTTTCCTAACAGAATAACTACTCTCCCAAGCAAACGTACACAAGAAATCAAAAGAAAATGGTTGAATCCGTCAACAAAACAATAAAAACAATATTTCCACACCTGACGTAATTTTCAGTTGACAATATGAATATAATAGCGTTTTCTAAATTCTTCCAGTTGCTAAGGACATTTTCTTTACTTTGTTTTAATATATTCATTTCGTTTTTGTCTTGAAAAACTCCACATTGGACGAAACGCGTCGGCTAATATTATATTTTTCCTATTGTCTTTTACATTTATAAATGCATACACACACACACACACACACACACACACACACACACACACACACACATATATATATATATATATATATAGAGAGAGAGAGATAGATTCTATAAAAGTCATAAAAAGAGAATTATATTTGTTGCTATGTCAGGTAAATCTACAAGTCAAGCCTCTACTGTCCAATGTCACAAGTAACAAAATTATTTCTAGTTACAGTATATCTTATGCTGTTTTCAATAAAACACCATAAGAAAACCGATTTTTTTATTTACTATCAAAATTATTCTATTTGTTTTTTTTTATTATTATTACATCATTTTTAGTGTAATCGTCGGGATGTCTACTAGACTGTGACGTAGAAGTTCTAGCTCCGTACCGAGTGTCGACTGATCTATTAGTAACCACTGGACTGTATGCAAAATAGTTCCAGAAACGAAGAGATTTTATAAATAGTACATTGCATTTTAAAATAAAGGACAGAAGGACTAAAATATCTTTGAATAGTGACTGAAATTCTAAGGTCAGTCTCTCCGGATTTTAGTTGGAAAAATAAAACCTGAGTGTCTTGGCCACTAATACAGCACAAAATTATAAACAACGCGAAGAAATGATTTCGCAGAAAAAGAAGACCAAGCTAAATATAATATATAGTCTTTTTCACATATATGATGCTAGTCCGTTTCTTACATTAAACGAGCATATCTGACTTTTCATTACGACCACACCGAGGAATTGAACTCACAATTACCAGGGACCCAGATGTTTTAACCAACATTTTAATCTTCCAAATCATATATCTCTTGGATATTTTAATGTTGAAATTCTGGAACTTAATGTTTGAATTCATGGTGTGACTATATGAGTGACGAGTTAGCTGTTGCAGTTATAGGAAGGGATACAAAAGAGAGACAAGGCATCCCCTAAAATTAAAGTTGAAGGAACATTAAAAACTGATTTTTCGAGGATATGCTTAAAAATCAAGTATGGTTGATCATATGTAGAATAAAAAGGATGGATCATCCGAAAACTAGATACATGACAAAATCATTAAATCCATTTTCTTACTGATCATGGCTTCACCACACTTTTGTTCATCATAAACATTTTTATATATAAATATTTTTAAATTTTCTCAACAGAAAGAAATTGTTTGAGAAATTGCTTTTTTAGAATTGACGTTTTGATTGAATAAAAATAATCAATTCTGAATTAATGATTATATACACGTATATATGGAAAATTATATGTTTCCTTACTACATCTGGTTTACTATAAATGTCGCAGCTTAATTCTCTTTTCTTGTTCCCTCCAAATAGTGAAATTTTTCTCGCCTCTCCTCACAGAATATAAAAGTAAGTTAGTAAATAACAACTGACATAAACTTAACA